TATATTTTTGTTTTTTAAAAGTTAAAGTAATCTCTGTTCTTTTTCACTGTGTAGTTCTGAAACAAGGAACAGTTCATTGAACTAATGCTCAGGTAGGTTCCAAGCCTAATGTGATTATATCCAGCAAGAGTTTGATATTGCCATTGGAGACCAATTATCATCCATGTGGGATTGTCCTGTAGGGTTCCACAGGGCACAGTCTTATTCCCTGTGCTACTCAGTCTCAATGTAGAGCTCTTATGAGTGTGTGAAGCAGTCCCCAAATATCAGGAATGAGACTGTCAGTACTAATCATTTGTCTTGTACTGCCTGTTACTACCTACTTCCTTACCCCTCCACACAAAACAGAGCCTCAGCTTTCTCTCACACACATCTGGATTTTTTTTTAAAGTTTCAAACTTGTATACAAGAAATTTCTATCTCTGAAGGGGGTGCAGCTAGTTTACAGAAGAAAAAACAGAAAATGGAAGCTGGACAATTCCTCAGTTCTGGACATCAGAATGTAAGAGCTGCTCCTGCTGAGGGCAGATTAGTCGGTCATCTAGTGCACCACCCTCTTTCACACAGTGGCCAACAAATTACCCTGAAGGGCCAACACAAAGGGCATAGAGAGCCAAAGCCTTCCCCTGGCACTGCCCCCAGCACTGGTATTTAGATGTTTACCACTTTTTAGTGATTGTTGCTAGTAAATGTTAAAAGTACAATCTTAAGAACACTTTCCTAAGAAAGATCCCCATTGAACAGACCCAAGTAGGATTCTGGGTAGATCTGCTTAGGCTCGCTGTGTAATGGACCTAGATCCCATTAATCTGATTAATCCCCTTTTAAAGCCATCTATGCTTTGTGACCATTATTATATCCACTGGCTATGAATTCCGCAATTTCGTGACTTGTTAAGTGAATAATGGTTTCCTTTTTTCCACATCATGACTCTGTAGCCTGTCAGCTTCATCAGATGCCCCTAATAAAGTTCTCCATGTCCACTTTTCCTACCTGATGATAAACTTTATAGACCTCTTTCATGCTCCCCTCCAGACAACTTTTTTTCCTAATCTGAAGAGCCCCGTGCTCATAGGAAAGGTGTTCCAAACCCCTCATCATCTTGGTTGCCCTCCTCCTCAACCCTTTCTCCAGGCCTTCCAGGTCTTTTTGGAAAAACAGCAACCAGAGTGGTACACAAGACTCCAAATGAGGCTGCATCATCAAACTATACAAGGGAGTTACAATTCTAGCTGTTTTACAGACAATCTCTTTTCTAATAATCTCCACCACAGACTTGTCTTTTCGTAGTGCCACACACCAAGTCAACATTTTAATCAAGCTATTCAAGGCAACCCAAATCTTTTCCCTTCTCAGTCACCACCAGTTCCAACTGCTACTCAGTAAGGTATCAAAACCATACAAAGAAGTCTACAATTGGTCAGCTGCAGAGTTCAGTGTTCTGAGGTAAAAAAAAAACAGTTACAGGAGACTGAAGAGAGCTAATGACAGCTGAGGAAATCAGGAATGGCCAACCGCTTGTGAGGTGCAGCAATGCAGCTGGCCCAGCCTTCCTGGTGGCTTCGAACTCACTCCCCCCACCTCCTACAGGCAGCTGTACAGGCAGCCATCAAGGAGCCTACCCCAGCAGTAACACCTTAGCGATCCTGCTGGCCCAGCCTCCACAATGGCTTGCAATACCCCTCCCCCTCCTACACTGGACAGGCAGCTCCCTGTCAAGTGTAAGAGAGGGGGTGGGAGGCTTACAGTTGTTGGGGAGGTTTGCTCAGCAGGATTGCCTTAATGCTGCTGCTGATCCAGCCTCCCTGATGCCCAGGTGTCTGTCAGGTGTAGGAGCAGAGCCAGGGTACTTTAATCCATCCAAGTAGAAACACCTTAGCAATGCTGCTGGGCCACCCTCCCCAATGGCTTTAGACACACTTCCACCCACTCCTCCTCCACTTGACAGGCGGTTGTCTGACAGGTGCAGGGGCAGAGCATTGAAAGTAATCAGGGAGGCTGCCCAAGCAGCATCACCTTAGCAATCCTGCTGGCCCTGCTGCCTCCCCAATGCCTTCAGACATGCTACCCCTCCTACACCTGACAGACAACCGCCTGCCAAAGGTTGGAAGGGACACAGAGTCCTTAAAGCCATCAAGGAACCTTGCTTAGCAGGATTGCCTTAGCGCTGCTGCTGGCCCAGCCCCCCCATGCCTTTAAGCACACTCCCTCCCAACACCAGACAGGCAGCTGTCTGTAAGGTGTAGGAGCTGGGCCAGGGTACTTTAATCCATCAGGGAGGCTGCCCAAACAGACACACCTTAGCAATGCTGCTGGACCAGCCTCCCCAAAAGCTTTAGACACATTCCCACCCACCTCTCCTCCAACTGACAGGAGGTGCAGAGCATTGAAAGCTATCAGGGAGGGTGCCCAAGCAGCATCACCTTAGCAATCCTGCTGTTACAGCCTCCCCAATGCCTTCAAACACACTACCCCTCCTACACCTGACAGATAACCACCTGTCAATTAAAAAGCATGCCCTGCATCCCCCTCCCCCAAAAAACATCAATGCCCAGGCCAAACCCCTGCACCAAGAAACCCAAAATAAGGGGAGTGTATTCCTCTCATGATGTCAACCCCCACTATGAAGAGATTTCTGAGAAACATGACCCCTAAGGGGTAAAAAAGGAGCAAAATATGTTCTCCCCCAATTGTTTTCCATGTGCCTGGCAGGCTGCTTTCTCCTTACCCCCTTACCCCCCCCCCCCTTAGTCAATTGTGTAGCTCAGAGTTCTGAGGTAAAACCTGCCTGCGTGTACCCACCTCCCTCTGATTGCTCAGCTGTGGATCCCAATGTTCTGAGGTAAACTTCACATTTCAAACTTCACATCATCAGTATTATACCTGGATTAACAGAATTTAAATACTGTAGCAAAGCACGGATACCAGGCTAGTATTCTTATCGATTCTGAGGCTAAGCTACTGCTAAAAGCAAGCCCTGTTTAAAGTTGAACATTGTCTTAAACACACTTTAAGAGGTCCAGAGTATATAATCACAAATTTGCTAAAGCCAAAGATTCCACTTAAGATGCCACACACTACCCAGTATAGTAAAACATGTAACCAAGTTTTAGCTCTCTGCTCTCCTATGCCTCCTTACAGGTCAATTAAAATGTATTAGAAATTTGTCAGAACCTACGATCAAAACAACAAGAAGAGTAGGTTTTCATAGCCTGCTTTTCTCTGAATGTAAGGAATCTCAAAGTGGCTTACAATCTCCTTCCCTTTCTCCCCCCACAACAGGCACCTTGTGAGGTAGGAGGGGCTGAGAAAGTTCTGAGAACTGTGACTTGCCCAAAGTCACCCAGCAGGCTTTGTGTGGAGGAGTGGGGGATCAAACCTGGTTCTCCAGGTTAGAGTCCACTGCTCTTAACCACTACACCATGCTGGCTCTCAGTCACTTCCCTCTTTACAGCAGCCGTGTACTATCCAGAACCTAATCATATTAAACGAACAATTCCAGCAACTGCAATACAGAAATCGCTTCATATGCCTTTTCGTCTAGGTTCAAGGTATTTCCCTATAGGCTGAATTCAAAGAGGCTTCCATCTCTGTTTCTGCAATCTGTCTCATTTGTTATATCTTAATTCAGACCTAACTGGAACTATGGCTAAGGAAAGTGCACAACAAATGCCCTAAACTGGACAAGGAACTTTAATTGGCCAGCTGCAAGATCTGGCAGAGTGGGAAAGACCCCTGTGCACCACTTCCCCCTGCCAGGACCACCCTGGCTAAAGAGAGGGTGTCACTTGCCTTGTTTGGGGCAGACCTTGCAGCCGCTACCACAAGCAAGCTGGCTGCGTGGTCAGGCGAGCCACTGCAGCAGCAGTTCCCCCAACCTGCATGGGGCCTGTGCAGCTGCCTTTCTTGCAATGTCAACAAAGAGATTATTTTTTTTCTTTCCCCCTTTCCATTGGGGGCAGACTAGGGGTTGGGGTCCTTTCCAGGGACATTTTTTTCTTCCCAGTCAGCCTCTGTCTACACTGGTCATTTTTATCAATGGCTCTAGTTCATCTGCCCCCCAAGTAACCTTAAATCAAGATGTGCAAGAAAGTTTCCTGACTTCAGTCCTAATAAAAGTACAACAGCTGTTTCAAACATTGAAAATGAAATCCCACACCATTTTTATGTCTCCGTAGGCGTTCACCTGCAACATGCCTGAATACGTGCGTTCCACTGGCACACCGTTCTTACTGCTGGAGCACCATGGGGCCAACCAATGAGGTCAGTTTCTGTGGCAATGTAGAACTGTGGCCCCAGAGCAATGTCTGGGGAATACAGCACCCCCTATAAGCATAGAAAAGTTAGCCATCTAGGTTAAGGCATTAGAGGAGAAAGTGACAAGGCAAGTAAGGTTTCCACACTTCCATTGTCTTGCAGAATGTGCAAAATGGAAGGCTCAGGGATGTAGTAAAATGGAATTGTGTAGGAAAAGCTCTTTCTGTATAGGTAATAAAGTTGTAATTGCCTGTGAAATCATTAGGCATCCTTTCCCCCCCTTCCAATATACCCCACTGAAGTCCCTCCCCTTCCCAAACCCTGCCCTCCTCAGGCTTTACCCCAAAATCTCCAAGTATTTCCCAACTCAAAGCTGGCAACCCTAATGACAAATGAATTAAATAAAATATGAATCCACCTCACTACATGACAGTATTTAATTTTATTTCAACTTTTAAAAAAACATATTAGGAGTTAAAGATTAGACAGTTTACACACAAGCTGGTGGAGTATTCATCACTGAAAACCAGGGTTCTTACAATTGTTACTTGTTTCAGCAAAGTCTATTTGTGTACAAGAACAACAACAGACAGCAAGTTTTAGAATTCATATTAGGAGTTAAAGATTAGACAGTTTACACACAAGTTGGTGGAGTATTCATCACTGAAAACCAGGGTTCTTACAATTGTTACTTGTTTCAGCAAAGTCTATTTGTGTACAAGAACAACAACAGACAGCAAGTTTTAGAATTCCTGTGACTGCCCATCTCCTGCCACTTCTTTAGGCACCTCAGTCTTCTTGTGAAGCAGTTGGGGAAGTATATTGGGAAGAACCCCTCCCTCAGCAATGGTCACACCTGCAAACAATTGGCTGAGTTCCTCATCGGTCCTCACAGCCAGCTGGAGGTGTCGTGGCCCAATTCGCTGCCTCTTGTTTTCAGAAGCAGCGTTTCCTGCAAGTTCCAATATTTCAGCAGTCAGATATTCCAACACAGCTGACAAATAGACTGCAGCTCCCATGCCTATTCGTTCGGCATACTGACCCCGCCTCAAGAACCGATGAACACGGCCCACTGGGAACTGGAGACCGGCTCTCTGTGACTTGGTTTTCTGTGAAGGAAAGGCAGGCTTTGCTGCAGTTGTTGACTTTGCTGTCTTCTTTCCATGCCCAGACATTCCAGTTTCTGTAAAGGACAGAAAAAGCAAGTTGTTATAGTGCAATTCAACAGGTTCTAAAGTATCAGGCTTTTCAGAAGATGGATGTCTTCCATTACAATCCCACTTCTTTCAAACAAGCATGCAATAGAACTTTGCTTCTGGGGAATACTCACATTCCTATGAGTAGATAAGGGCTTCTATTCACTCTTTACTCAGTACATTCCTTAAAATTAATCTCCAGCTTTGTTAATATGAGGGCTGCCACATTTCTCCTGTTTTCTGTTTTACATGGGACCTGCTCATTCTATTTCATGCTAAAGAGATACTGGAACCTATTTTGCATATTACCTCATCCAGTCAGTGCTCTACAACACTTTTCTCTCATTATTTTTTAAAGAATATTTTATTAATTTTCAGAAATAAAAAGTAAAAAAAATGAGTGTTACAATGTCATAGTATCTAATAAAATTTCTCATACATAACAACGCTAATATTTTACCATATCAGAAACTTCCATCTTAGCGACACTATACATTAAAAGCTGCTTATTTTTTTAGTCTAACACAAATCTAAATAAACTACTAGCATTTCTACTGTATATAATCTAAAATCAGGTTAAGCTTATATCTTTCTACTATATATGATAAAAAAGACATGTTAACCATCTTCTTACTTGACATCTTTAAGGGGAAAAATAGTATGTAAATAAAAACAGGAATAAAGGTATTAACAGTTTCCATTCTAACTTCATGTTAAACTCTTGTATAAGATCCGGTTCAGTTTCAGATAAAGTTCATTTGAATCAGTTACACCTAAACCAGAGTTCCCTATATTACTCTACAAGAAAACATAATGTAAATAGGAACATTCTCATAACATACTGCTATCTTCATTAAAATCCAAATCCAGTAACTATTACTATACACAAATTATCTATGCTTTTATTTCTATATTTTTGTTTTTACTCATATTTTAATATCACATATTTACTTTATATTTTAGTTGACGTTCAATAGTTTTCTCTTATTATGACAGACTAAAAGTGGAACCTGAAATACCCCCCCCCCCCTTTGTTTTTCTTAGTGGATGTGCAACTTGATGAAATGCTCTGGGGAACTCAAAAACCTACTCTCTGTTTTGTTTCATTTGGGTTGAGCCTAACTCTTATCTGACTATTGTTTTGGAATTTTTAAGTAGGCCAAGCCGGGATAACCTCTGTATATTAAAAATGCCACCCTAAAATACTGAAGTTGCTCAATGTTGCCCCTAAAAACCAAACCAAATAAGATCTTACAATTCTTTTTCCAGAGAACATGCAGCTAGCTAAGTTTACCTTTTGAAAGAGAGAAATACACAGGGGGAAATACAACTCAAAATATGCAGTGAATTAATTTTTGAGTTAATTTCTGTAACCCTCACATCACCATTAGAACAAAGCAAAAAGCCACCCTTTCGTCGCAATTTACATTAGCTATAACTTTCTGTTAACTAGACTACTTTTAGAAAAATCTTTAGTTTCTATATTCCAAACCCTTCTTTATGTTTCTTTACCTTATGCAATCTTTTTTTATTCCTCCTTTCTGCACCTTGTTGTCTCAACAGTAGATAATTTGCTTTCTGTGGGGGAAACACAACTATTGTGCTGAAATTAGGCATAAACTAAAGCAGCCTCACCTTCAAAATCCTACCTCAAGAACTTAGGAACAGCTTTTTCTTTTAAACTTCTCAACTGTAGCAAGCTCATTAGGAGCTTTCCTTTCACCTGAAAACAACTGGGAAGCTTCAGTCACAATCGCTACATCTGTGTAGCAGTTGTGGATTGGAGACTGAGAAACTACTCTAACAAGTTAGTTGCCTACTGTTTGCTCAATCTCACATGTTTCAAAGAAAATATAGCCCAATCTGCTTTTAATCCTATTCAGTTTACCTTTATGTCACTCTACTAAATCAAATATAAATAGCAAGAAGTAGAAAGTGAGATGTCGCCAAAACAGTATGGAAAGGAAAGCTCTAATAAGATCCTGATCCAGAGCACACTTATACCCCACTTTAAGTATACTGCTATGCCAGGGGGAAAAGATGATGTTTACTTTAAACTTTTGCGAGCCAGTATGGTATAGCCATTAGAGAGACAAACTAGTATCTGTTTACTCTGCCAAGCATATTTTAGGCTAATCTTATTTTAAGATAATCTACCTCATAGAATTCCTGGGGAGATAACAGAGGATGGGAGGTCAGTGTTGCAAGCTGTTTTAAGAGAGAAAAGCAGGTTATAAATATATCTATACAAATTAAAACAAATCTCCCTTTTATGGGTATTAGTGCTTAGAAGATGCTTGCCTAAATTAGCATTGATAACTGTGGGGCTACTGAAGACCCCTTACCTGCTTGGGTAGGAGCGGCAGAAAAATGTATTGGGAATTGGAATGTAGCCAGTGAAAGAAGCTGATTTTGCAGCAGGATGGCCAAAATGAACTTAGGAACACTTCAATGGCATGCTGTTTCTTTGGGAGGAACCAGTGCTGTTTTCAGGACTACCACCTTCTTGGGGTTTCCTGTTTCCCCATACTCCACTTGTATGTTTGTATACAAAACAGATAGAAGTCTCTCTCTACTAGTATCCCTCCTCTCAAAGAAACTGTCCCTGAAAAGGCAGCCTGTGAAAACTCCTGCACTTGAGAATGATAAATGGTGGCCACATCATTTCCCTGCATGGAAGCTGCATCCACTCAAAGACAGTTCTCAGTAGCCGAGGTTGCTATGGGAGTAATTCTGGTTTTGTGCCACAATTTCAAATACATCTTCTATCCTAAGCATTCTTAGGATTCCTCCTTCTTACTGGCCCTGTTCTAATGTCTTTAACAAGCTTCTGATGCACAGAAATTAAGTGTTGGAAAGCTTCAACTGATCCACTTCCTTGTGGCAGCTATTTGACATCAGGAACAAAGATCCTGACTCTACACTTACTTACTTGGAAAAGTTTTGTGGACTTCTGAAGAAACATGCCAAGGATCAGGATGTAAATATTCTTTTCTTTGCGACGTTACTTGGAAGCAAATTCTACTGGAATCAGTACACATGGCTTTGCAAGCAATTATGGTCTCTTTCCAGGATAGGAAATGAGGGAAGACATCATCTTTTCCTAGGAGGTGCCCAGATCTCATGGCAGCAGTTTGACAGCTCTCTTTACTGTTCCTCATTATTTCTGATCCAGCAGCAAGTAGTGATTTGGAAAAGGACAAAAGGGTAGTCAAATAATAGTGATGTATGACTGTTAACAATGGAGATTTTGATTGGAGGTCTCAGAATTGAGGGATATTTCTAGTCTCTTAGATAAGAATGCATATCTCATCTATACTGGTAGGAAAATTAAAGTGACCAGATGTGGGCCCCATTATTTGTATCTGTACCAAAGGCCACAGAAATTGATCCAGTTTAAAGACATCAACTAAAATGAGCTTCCACTCTCATTAAATATATTCTCTTCTGTTGAGATTTCAAGGATCAGGACCTTTGAGCAGTAACACTCTGGCTGAACACATAGCTTCAGATCACTAGGTCTGTAGTTGGATAAAGTTTAAAACATGTTTTCCCTGAGAACAGGATAATTGCTTTGGATGAAACAAACTGAAAACTGTGCTTCAGGGGTCAACTTGTTAAGTTATTTGCTCGTTTTGAAAACCACGTATTCTCATGGATTTGGGGGCTGTATGTGTGCGTACTGACACAAAAATGTGTATGGAGCAGGTTGGATCCTGGAGAACTATATCCTGTTCCCTTTAATAGAGCCCTGATGTTTGGAAATGAGTGGCTGAAGCTTTTCATGGCATGAAGGTAAATGACACCACCTGATAAATAGCATCATATTAACCCTTCTTAAAGGGGCAGGACCTTTTCCTCCAAGTCTGTTGGCAACCTTACCCACAGGATCTCTTTTGACTCTGGAGGGATCATGGGATCTCCATGGACCCACACAGGCCAGGGAATGAACTGAGGGCCAAACTAGATGTGACAGCATCCATGAATCTGACCCATGGTCAACAATGCCGTTTTAAAGTGATTTAAAATGATGAAGAGAGCTGTCCTAAACATGATGATAGAACTGATCTTAATGGGGCCTGCAGCATGGCAGGCTGAGGCATGACAGGAGAACAAGAGTGCCTCACCCCCTTGTCAGGATCGGGTCCTTGCTGTATTTTAAAATTTTTAAAAAATCATGGTAGCATCGAACGCTCAGATCTAGGCCCACTGCCACGTCTAGTTTGGCTCTGAGTAGGGGGACGGGTCAAAAGTGCTCCCTCCTTTTTGTTCTGGAAGTGTAGCTGATGGAAGGGGAACAAAGAAAAATTCATTCCCTTCCCCCTAATCAGAGCATCCCCCTGATTTGGGCGGCTTCTAATCTCTGCAGGTCACACAAACCCAGGAACCAACCTTGCTGAGTCAGAAGGGGCTGCTGGCAGAGGAAAACAAGGCTAAAATATGTGACTACCAGCACCATCTGCTGATAGATCACTGGATCAAAACTCCATGCCTGAACATCATGTGCCAAGCACCAGGAGTCTGCAAAAAGGCTAAAATCGGGAGCATGTATGCTGGGAGGGCCTGTTGGTCTCATGGTCACTTGCTTCCAAGTGAACAAAACACAATGAAATATGGATTGACAAGTCTCTCTTCCACATTGCTGGAGAGACAGAGAGGCTATTTCATTCCTTCTTAGCAGAATTATGATTTGATTATCGCACATAAATGTACCACAGTGAATTTCATATATACTACATACCTGATAGCAATGGTGAGCCCAGCTGTGCATATAGGGGGGGGAAATGTCCCTGGGGTCACTTAGAACTAGGGTATATGTTTTGCAAAACCTGGGATTTACTCAAAAATATAAAGAGGAGAGGGAGTTAACTCCCCTGCTAGTAGCTAGGATCTGTACATAAGAAAAGAGAAGGCAATGCTGGATCAGGCCAATGGCCCATCTAGTCCAACACTCTGTCACACAGTGGCCAAAAATACCA